GACTGACACTTTCCGTAGAGGATACCGACCTAAGAGTTTGGGCTTCAGTTGGTAGTTTTCACTAGTTCATGGGTGGGATAGGATTAAAAATGTACACTTGTATTCCTTATTGGGTTTAAGTAACCATAAAAATGTAAAATGTTACCCAACTATGACAAAGTTCAGGTTCTCGGGGTTTGGGGTTTTAGAGCGTGTGGTTTGAAGCCAGAAGCCCAATTTAAATGCTTAGCTCCTTGGCTGCTGCAGGATATCCGCCGGCTGGGGCGTCACCCGCTTCCTGCTTCAAGCGTTGTTTCCACGTTGCTGAAAGTCAAGGCTTGGGGTTCAGGTCAGGACAGGTATCACAACATGGCCATGGTCATGCTAGTGCACGAGATGGTAATGATGCAGGAGCCGACGACAGAGAAGAAGACTATCACGAGTATGAGGATAAGACTGCTGCTGCTGCTTGGTGTTGTAATTTAGTTGAAGCATGATCGTTGCAAGGGGGGGTTGACAATGTGGGCCTGCATTACCAAGATCCGGAACTCTAGTCTTTTGCAAGCATGTTGGTTTTGGGGCCGCCGAACTCCAGGGGCTCAGGATTTAGGGCCTTCAGTCCTCACAGCCCCTGCCAAAAAGCTAAATCTTCAATCGCGAAAATCCAAGCCACTGCGAGATGCAATGTTGGAGTGGTTGCAACCTTGCCCGATGTGAAAGGTCCTCTCCGCTCCTATAGCAATCCTTAGAGCAACCTTTACCAGTGTATAGTAAACCTTCTTAGTCACACTTTTGAAACCCTTACAGTAACCTATAGAACCCTTCCAGCAATAGTAAACACAGAGTACGCGGAGCAGATTTGAAGCCTCTTTGTCTTTCTTCTTGCCTTGGCCGCCAGTAGACACAAATGATTCAAACAGTTGCTGTTCGGGATAGGGGCTACTACAAGTGTTGCCACCAAAATTCTCCTCCCTAAGCTTGAGATTTCCGGGAGCTACGTGCGAAGGACCTTGGTCTCTGAGCTCAGACAGATCCTGTTAAGGTTTAGGGTCTAGGAGTTTAGGATGTTTGAACTTATGAAGATCCCTAACACCGAACATCAGAGGCGCAATCACGGCAACTCGCCGCGCGTTCTAACTATGACACGCCTCTACCGCCTCTACAGACCATTCTTGTCGTAAACAGCTGTGCCAGTACGAATCTTGAATGCCAGTCTAGTTCCGCTAATTTGCAACAGTCCCGGTTGTCTTGCTTTGGAGCTGAGATAACAAGGGTCACATGGTCTCGGCAACAGCTGAAGTTTTAAAGGACCTCGCCCTGAGTTACGTAGTGTTACAGCTGGCCGCAATGCCAGTGGAAATCGGAGTCGTGGTGGCTGTGAGAATAGCAGTAGCAGTAGCAGTAGTACTAGTAGTAGTAGTAGTAGTAGTAGTAGTAGTAGTAGTAGTAGTAGTAGTAGTAGTAGTAGTAGTAGTGGTAGTAGTAGTAGTAGTAGTAGTAGTAGTAGTAGTAGTAGTAGAAGTAGCAGTAGCAGTAGCAGTAGTAGTAGTAGTAGTAGTAGTAGTAGTAGTAGTAGTAGTAGTAGTAGTAGTAGAAGTAGCAGTAGTAGTAGTAGTAGTAGTAGTAGTAGTAGTAGCAGCAGCAGTAGTAGCAGTAGCAGTATATAGCAGTAGTCTCAGTAGCAGTAATTAGCAGTAGCCGCAGCAAGTAGCAAGAGGACAGATGGAAGTGGCGAGGAGAAACAGCTGCAGCAGCGGTGGAAATAACATGATACGGTTGATGATATCTACATTACCCATAATACGGAATGTACCATAGTCTAGGGCCACTCAGGTCATGAAGGATTTATATCATAAACCGTTAACCGTAAAACCTTGTAGATCACTTACAGGAACCCCTTAAAGTACCCTTATATATCACTGAAAGGAACCCCTTAGAGGTACCCTTACAAATCCCTTAAAGGATTTATATCATCAGCCGTATGTCAAACCGGCCCGGAGCTTATGAAAGGCCGAGCATCGATTGCGTTTCGATCCCGAAGCACCACCTTGCCTTGCCCAAAGGGTCCAAGTAATGTTTTAGGGTTTACGGTTTAGGGTTTAGGGTATACTTTGGACACTAGCTACTATAATGGTACTTGGATTCTTTGGGTTGATGCAGATTGAATTCAGGCAGTGTTGCAGTAGTGTAGGGGTTCGGGGTCCTCCGGCATGGACTATCCCTAAAGCATAAATGCCCAAACTCAGAGTCATGGCTGCAGCTTTCGGTTCTGGGACGGGTTGCGCCTGTTGAGGACTCTCGGCGTTAAGCCCGTATAGGCTCCAAGGACTCATAATTGAGGCTCTTGGGCCCAAAGACCATGCCATATAGGGCTTTTTAAGGCTCAAAATAGCCTACAAACATTCGGGAATTTGGTAGTTCGTGGCGTATGTTCAGGTTTCGGGGTGTTCGGGCTTGAGGGTTTCTGGGGTTTCAGGTTCGAGCCTTGAAGCCCAAGGGCCCACAGTCGGACACCGGGTGATGGCTTGGGGCTTCGGGTATTTGTAACCGACAGCAGGGTAAGTTAGTAAGCAATGGTCGCCGCCCTAAACAACAGGATCCCGAATGGACGGACTCCCGCAAGGGATTCCCACAGACGGTTCATGATACAAACCCTACAGTACCCATATCAAGGAATATACCGTAATTCCCATAGTCTAGGGCCATTAAGGTAATGCAGGTTTTTATATATCCTCAGTCCTAAACCCCTAAGCCCCAAACTCAACCCTAAACCCCTAACCCTAAACCCCTAACCCTAAACCCTGAACCCCTAACACCTAGAGGATTCTGTTTGGGATCGGATTTTTCTGGGGGCTTCCGGAGTCCCAGGTGCGCATCGGCTTGGATCTCTATCCCGAGCTCACCGAGAATGGCATCCAGATCCTTCGGTTTGGGGTTACTCGGATGCCCAGTAACCTAATAAGGAGCGGAAGACTACAAAACAAAAAAAGGGTCCAAGTACATAATGGTATAGTATATACTTTGGGGGCCAAAATACCTACTATAATGCTAGGATGCACAGTAAGCTAGGAATAAAAAAGGTTTTTTGGTATTGTGTAACTTTATAAGGAACCTAGGACTACAAAAAGGGAATAAGGGTACCACTTCCTGGGTTGAGGCTTAAGGGTTTAGGGCCTAGGATTTAATGTTTAGGGTCTAGGGCCTAGGGCCTCGTGCTAAACAGAATAAGGTCTTTGGGTACATATATCGTCCCCCCCCATATTCGTTCATATTCTCAAACCCTGCCTAAATCCCAAAGAACCTACCTTTTTAAGGACTTACATAAAGAAACCATATTAGGGAGCCCCAAAAAGGTAGGTTCTTTAGGGTCCAGGTAGACTCAGACCCTTGAGCCCTCTTAGACCCCCAACCCGGACCCTGAATTAGCAAACTAATGGCCCAGTCTTTAAGGTCGCGTAGACGGGCTTTATGATTTTCAGAGTAGGGTATTGGGGTATTTTGGATTTCAGTAAAGCTCGCAAGGAATAATGCAGCAACTTCCTTAAGCCCCCGCATACAACGCAAACATGTATAGTAAGTTCTAGGTATAGGGAACTTAATCATTACAAGTGGTTTTTCAAGTAAACTGTACCTTTATAATATATATTTCTGATCTAGAGAACACTACGGAGTATAGTATAACTAACTATAGTATTCCTGCGGTTGAATTTAGTAAAGGCCCCCCCCCCGTGTTCGAGTCGAAAAAGAAGCATTCAAGGGCCATATGGGTGGTTGTCAAAATAATGGACCCTCTTTGGGAACCCTATATATTAGCTGCCGTGCTTTAATAAGGACCTAAAAATCCTGATTTTGACAACCACCCATATGTAACCCTAAACCCTAAACCCTTATAGATTGCTTAAAGGAACCGTTATAGATCCCTTTAAGAAACCCCTATAGATCCCATATGGACAGATCATCCTCCGGTCTCAGGGTCGAGGGCTTTCGGACCTGAAGTTCGACTGGGGTTCTTGTTCAGGGATGTAATCTAAGTTACCATAGTAAAGGTTCCTTTGAAGGGTTCCTTTAAGGGTTTATGTAGGGGTTAAGGGATTTAGTCGAAGTTACCAGAATAAAGAAACCATATTATCTACTATAGATCCCTAGTAATTATGGTAAGTTAAGTTCCTTAACAAGAACCCAGTCGAGTGATGCTTCTCGCCAAAACCAACCCCGAGAGCTGAGCTTAATACGTCATGAGATTTCAGTTGATGAACCCTAAACTAAACCCCGCACCTTTCTTGTCTCTGAATTTGGGGATTCGAGTTTTGTTTTAATGAGAAGGCTTCGGTCTAACTGAGAACAAGATATTGAACGACGGGTCAAAATCGACACCTGAAGCTTCAAATCGGAGCCAGGCATATCAGAGATGATGCGATCTTTCGAAACCACAAAGTCTTTAGAAGCCACGAAATCAGGGTTTATGGGGTTTAGGGTTCAGGGGCTACAAGATCAGGTGTAGGGACTGGGGGACATTAGCTGTGAATCGTAAAGCCCGAGACCCGCAAACCTGACCCTAAAACCGAGAATCGAACCCTAAACCGCAAACCCTACACCCCTAAACCCCTAACCCTAAACCCTACACCCCTAAATCCCTAAACCCCTAACCCTAAACCGGTTCCTAATGATAAGGCCTAGAGAGAAAAGGCAGCTCCTCGTCCTCGGGCTTCACCTGTTTCTTGGGCTCCTGGATGAGATTTTGGTAGTACTTAAAGGATCATGGGACTTTGTAACTTTAAAGGGTTCCGTAAAGGGTTCCTATAAGGGATCTATAGATGAGATTCTGGCAGTATGGGATTTAGGGTTGATGGCTTCAATGAAAGAGAGTTCTCCCTTGTTTGTTAGGGGATATAGTAGGGCTTGGGGCTTAGGGTTTAGGGATCCCGAAAACCGAAATCCTGGGCTTGAGGGCTTTAGGGTTTTGGCGCTGCTTCTCGGGGCGGCGTTTACTGTGGAGTGCAAGGCTCTGCTCCGCTTACTTGACACAAAGGACCCTTATAGATCCCTTAAAGGAACCCTTACATCCCCGGAAGGAGCCCTTCTAGATCTCTTCAAGGAACGCTGTTTATTATAGATCTCTCTAAGGAGCCCTTATAGATCCCTTTACGGGTACCCGTACCCCCCCCCCCCCCCCATGTTTTTGCATCCCCGCAGGCCCTCAGCCCTCAGAAGCGTTCAGATATCACCAACACTTGAAGGTTTAAGATCTTTTCTACAGGCAATCTATAGTCATTTGGGCCTAGAGGCTCCAGATATACTACGATTTTGGAATTAGGCCCCAAAGGACCATTCTAATTGTGGATTATTGAACTAATTCCATAATGGCAGTAGTATATGTGGAGCCTCTGGGTAAGGGTTCTACATGAGTGTCACTGACATGGCTTACAGAACGGCGGATGCGAACTGCTCTGTTTAGGAGGCCTGAACGCCCAACCCCGAAATCAGCAAAAGCAAACGACACCCGATGAAACCCAGGGATTCGCACACACAGGCAATTCAATCCTTAAGCCTCAAGCCCTGAATCGTAAAACCTGAATCATGCATCCCATCCCCCATACCCCTACTCCGAAATCCTAAAGTCCCGAGCCCAAAACCCTCAAGGGCGTAAGGTCAAGGAATAGTACCTACTCGGGGCTCTTTGCAGTCTTAGGTTCTTCGTAACCGCAAAGCCCTAAATTTTAAATCCGGAGACATAGGGGTGGTTGTCAAAATGAGGGTTTTTTTGGGGTCCTTAATATACTACGGCACCTAATATTTAGGGTACCAAGAAGGGACCTTAAGTTTGACAACCACCCATAATACAAACTCTGCCACCCCCTGACTCTGGCGACCTTCTTCTTGCTAGCAGGAGCTGCCTTCGAAGGTAAGGCTCGGGATGTTTTCGGGCTTTCGGGCATGGGGCTTGGGGTTGTCTGCTCCTAAACCCAAGAGTAACCTAGGAATAAAAAGGGTGCCCTTTTTGCTTTAAGGGGGCTTATAAGGGAACCTGAACCCTGAAAAGAGAATAATAAGGGCCTACTCTAGGTCCCAGGCTCTTTAGGCTAGCTTGAGCCGGCTTAGGCTTCCCGGAGTTGGGAGAAGATCCTGACGTCTGCGATTGTATCGGGGGCAAGAAGAGCCAGACTCAACCGAAGCACAACTATTCAATACGTTGAACCCCGAGCCCCACCCTAAACCCTGAAACCCAACCACGAGGCATGAAAGACAACAAAAGCTCTCCACCCCAACCTCAACACAGTATTTCGAAACCCGGGCTGAGCCATCATAAATCCAGCTCAACGTTATCCTCTAGATTCCTAAGCCAAGAGCCCGAAGGCCTTCACCGTTTAGCCTTGTGTTGTCGAAAAGTGCAACGGACCATTTAGGGGTTTGGGGTTTAGGGGACCCAAACCCTCCCTTAATCTGAAGCCCCAAACCTTAACAGAGCGGCCTAGTTATTACTGTAAAATAGGGTGTGGGGAGTATTTTGCACTATATGTATGATAAAGCACCAACATACTACAGTAATCCCCAAACCCAGACTCTAAACCCTTACTCCTACTTGGAAAATCAGGGGACTTAGTAAGTATTATTATAAGTCCCCTAATTTGGGTGGCAATTATAGGTAATTTTCAGTATACTTACCTTATTTGTAACCCAGGTTACTAAGTCCCATGATCCTTGAAGTAAGCCCCAAAGCTTATTGCAGCGCACCTCCGACTTAGCTTCGTTGGTCTCGCGATTCTCCCAACTCTCCTGCGGCATCTCGCCATGCGGTTGATGATACAAACTCTGCATTACCTTAAGGACCCTAAACTATGGGAAGAATGGTATATTCCTTATTATTGGTAATGCAGGATTTATATCATCAACCGTACTTCTGGGTCCACGATGGTCCACGGTTCACCTTAACCCCAAACGACCTACCTTTGTAAGAACCTGTATAAGGACATCATAAAAAGGAGCAGCCGTAAAAGGTAGGCTACTTGGTGTAAGGAGGGGGGCCTTGATATGCAGGTCTTCATCGGCTAAATCTCATGCTTAGGGTTTAGGGCTTATAGGGCTTAGGGTTTCAGGGTTTAGGGGTCTTTTTTTTTTATGGGCCCTTTTCCGTCTGGAGGAGCGTCCGAAATTCCATAGGTGGAGAGTGGAGGGTTTAGGGTTCAGGGTTTAGGGTTTGTTGGTTAAACCTCAAGCCATGATTGACACATCTCTCAAACCACAGCCCCGAACGGAAGGCCGTCATGTCGCCAATGGGGGGCCTGCGCTGCTCAAACTAGTTTTGTGGGGTATGCAGCGCGATACTGCTATAAATTCACCGGGGGCTATTATTAGCGTTATTTCCATGAAATATTTAGACCCTAAGCCCCAAGTACTCAACACCTAAACCCTCAAACCCCAAACTCGAAGCCCCTGAACCCCAAAACCTAAACGCTAACCTATGCCTCTGTGTCCACACTCTAAACCCCCCACCGGATTGGGCCGCTCCTCCACCACCGGAGCCTGCCGAGAAGTTGGGGTGTTTGGCATTTCGGGACTGTAAACAGCCGGCGTAAAACGGACCCCAAGCCCCAAAACCCCTTAAAGATCCCTTCAAGGAACCCTTTTAGGAGCCGGACCCTAAGGTTTCAGTGTTGAGGGTGAAAGGTTGATGGTTGAGGCTACACTGTCAAATATTCTCGGAAAACAAAGGCCTTAGGGTTCCTATAAAGGGTTTAGTAATATAGGGCTTCTATAAAGGTGCCTTCTGGGCCTACAAAGCCAAGTATTAGGGCTTAGGATTTAGGGTTGAAGGGTTTTTCGGGTTTAGGGTTTAGGGGGGCGGCTCGGTGCTTTTATATGGCTTCAGTAAAGGTTTCAAAGGGGTTCTATGGCGGTTCCATGCCGTTCTGATGAAGGACTTCTATAGCGATTGCTGAAGTTTACTGCGTAGGCCGCCAGTGCCCCATAAGAGGGTTTCACATTGTTTGAAGTTTAGGGCTTCGGGGTTTGCGGCCGAAATCACAACAACAAACGAAGCCCACGCTCCAAAACCCTGTCTGACACCCCCTGTAATCACCCTTATAAGCATCCTGTGAAAGCAGGCACTTACCGATTCCCCGTAACCTTAAATCCTATAACCAAAGCTCCGGTTAAGCTAAACGCTGAATCCTTAAGCTTTAGCCTTACACCCCAAACCCTGAATACTAACCCCGAACTTTTGACCGTAAACACCAGGCCCTAACCCTGATGGACTGCACATGGAACACCCAGAGCCCATCGAACCTCATAGAACCCGAAACCCCCGATGCTTGAACTCCGGAACCCAAAGCCTTGAAACCCGCATCGCCCATGGAAGCTCCGCTAAACCCCAAACCACAAAAGACTCCTAAATCCTCATTCTGTAAACCCTGAACCTATAAACCCTATACGTTACCCGCAAACCCTAAACCTATAAACCCTAAACCCCTAAACCCTGTATAACCTATGAGCCGTGAAGCTATAAACCCTACACCCTAGACCCCTAAACCTACTATAGGGTCCTTTCTTAGACCCCTCTAAGGATCCCTCTAAGGGAAGCCCTGTTCTAGTTCTGTGGTTGAATCCATTATACATTATAGATCCCTCATAGGACCCCTTTAAGGATCCCTTTAAGAGAACCCCTGTTCTAATTATTAAGGCCCATATATGGTGAACCCCAGAAAGTTGGAACATGGCTTTAGGAGGAGTAGTGCTAGGATCCCCTTATGCTTTAAGGGCACGGGGATGATGATGTTCCCCAACTTTCTGGGTTCCTACTGCAATGTAAGCCCTGGTTACGATAGAACCCTAGTATAGATCCCTCAGAGGACCCCTTTAAGGATCCCTTTAAGAGAACCCCTGTTCTAATTATTAAGGCCCATATATGGTGAACCCCAGAAAGTTGGCACATGGCTTTAGGAGGAGTAGTGCTAGGATCCCCTTATGCTTTAAGGGCACGGGGATGATGATGTTCCCCAACTTTCTGGGTTCCTACTGCAATGTAAGCCCTGGTTACGATAGAACCCTAGTATAGATTCCTCAGAGAACCCCTTTAAGGATCCCTTTAAGGGAACCCCTGCTCTAATTATTAAAGCACCTTTTCTTATAAGCCCTGGTTGAATCTATTATAGATCCCTCATGGGACCCCTTTAAGCCCCTAATTACTAAGGCCTCTATATTATCATCCCTGATCCCCTTTAAACACCCTGACAAATATTTACATATAGGGCCCCTTATAAACACAAATAAGGAAAATAAAAAATGTCCCAAAATCCAACCTACAAAAATCAGCCCCTTTAAGGATCCCTTTAAGGGAAGCCCTAATTACTAAGGCCCCTATATTATAATCCCTGGTTGAATCCCTAAACCCTAAACCCTATACCCTAGACCCTAAACCTCTCTTTCATATGATAATTTAAACCCTAATACCTTAGTCGTTTAAGGTCAGGTCGGGGCCACATTCTGCAGCAAAACAGGGCCGTTCTTTTCGTGTGCCTGCTCTAAGGCCTTAGTCGTTTAAGGTCAGACCTTAAACGACTAAGGGTTTGACCTTAAACGACTAAGGGTTTGACCTTAAACGACTAAGGGTTTGACCTTAAACGACTAAGGGTTTGACCTTAAACGACTAAGGGTTTGACCCCTAGGGTTTTGGGCCCTAGGGTTTAGCGAGCCTTTTTACTTGCTTTACTTAAAACAAGCAAGAAACGGTGTTGACACCATAGGAAATTTAGGGTTTAGCTACAGCCGCATATGTTTCCAGAGTAGTTAATTGGCAATTTCATAATTGTGAGGTTTAGGTCCTGCCGCACACCGACTGAATTTAGGGTTTAGCTTGCCCAAGAGTAGCAACTAACTATGAATAAAAAGCTTGCAACATATACAACAAACCTAGTTGGTTGGAAGAATCTAAGGTAAGTCTAAGCTCGACAACCTTAAAAAAATAAATCAGCTGTGGGAGCAATATGAACTGTTGTATTTTCCTAGTGGTGTGGGAAAGCGACATTAAAGTGTGACAGGCTAGGTTGCAAGTAGAACTGTCTGAATGATGATGAAGGGCTTTATATGGCTTATGATATGGGATTCTAAGGGTGGGTGGGTGTTATTTCTAAACCGTAAATACAACTCTACTTTAGAACTGCTCGATCCGGAGCTGCTGAACCCTAGACCCTAAACCCTAATCCCTAAACCCTAATCCCTAAAATCCCTGGTTGAATCCCTAAACCCTAAACCCTAAACCCTATACCCTAGACCCTAAACCCTAGACCCTAAACCCTAATCCCTGAACCCTAAACCCTAAACCCTAATCCCTAAACCCTAAACCCTAATCCCTAAACCTTATAAACCCTAAACCCCAATCCCTAAACCCTAAACCCTAAAATCCCTAATCCCTAAACCCTAAACTCTAAGGCGCTTGCCGGTCGGCCATGTGGCCGACCGCAGCGACCCCTTCGTCAGGCGACTGCATGGCATTCGCACATACAGTATGCCTAAACAGCAATTCTACTGTGCCATCAAGCTTTCAGCTGTGCCACCACTAAGCATTGGGACTTAGTCAGTACTGACATATATAATGTTAACCCTAAAGCCGCTATTGCGGATCCTTTCGTTCGTGTTTTCAGGGATTTAGGCCCGATTTCTAGGATTTAGGAACACATTTTCAAGGATTTATGCACGATTTGTAGGATTTAGGGTATCCTTTCTAGGATTTAGGGAGCTCTAGGATTTAGGAATATGTTTGGTCAAGGATTTAGGGTTCGTCTAGGGTTTAGACGTCCTTCTCTAGGGTTTCGTGCCTCGGATTTCGGAAGTTGAAGGCCGATTTTTGAGTGATAAATTCTTTTCATAAAAAGTAGATTTTAATGTGGCCAGTGGCCCATCTCGGGGTCCCTCCCTTTCGGGCAGGTCTCTAGGATTTAATTTAGAGGCCTGTCTCAAGGATTTAGCGGCGCTTTGGGCCGGTTCTCTAGGATTTAGAAGCCTGTCTCAAGGATTTAGCGCAATTTTCTCGGATTTAGGGTATCCTTTCTAGGATTTAAGGAGGTTTCTAGGGTTTAGGAAGCGCGTTCTAGGATTTAGAGGCCTGTCTCAAGGATTTAGCGCAATTTTTTAGGATTTAAGGTGTCCTTTCTAGGATTCAAGGAGGTTTCTAAGGTTTAGGAATAGGCCTGTCAAGGATTTAGGTTTGCTCCAGGATTTCGCCAAGTCCACTCTAGGATTTAGCACAGGGTTCTAGGGTTTAGGCCTGATTCTCTAGGATTTCGCAGGGCTCTAGGATTTAGGACTATGTTTGGTCAAGGATTTAGGGCTCGTCTAGGGTTTAGACGTGATTCTCTAGGGTTTCGTGCCTCGGATTTCGGAAGTTGAAGGCCGATTTTTGAGTGATAAATTCTTTTCATAAAAAATCGCTTTTAATGTGGCCAGTGGCCCATCTCGGGGTCACCCCCTTTCGCGCAGGTCTTTAGGATTTAGGAAGCGCGTTCTAGGATTTTGCGCTTTGGGCCGGTTCTCTAGGATTTAGAAGCCTGTCTCAAGGATTTAGCGCAATTTTCTCGGATTTAGGGTATCCTTTCTAGGATTTAAGGAGGTTTCTAGGATTTAGGAAGCGCGTTCTAGGATTTTGCGGTTTGGGCCGGTTTCTAGGATTTAGAGGCTTATCTCAAGGATTTAGCGCAATTTTCTAGGATTTAGGGTGTCCTTTCTAGGATCTAGGGAGGTTTCTAGGGTTTAGGAAGCGCGTTCTAGGATTTTGCGCTTTGGGCTGAATTTAGGCTCTGACTAAGATTGAGCCCTACCCAGAACGTCGCATGATGAGCTGCGCTCGTACATAGATGGACAGGGTAGGTCAAACTATGTGGGCAAACCCACTCCTGAGCCCACCTGAAGGCTTACAGTATCCCCATGAACTGTGTCAGATTGATTCTGCATTCTGCTACCCTTCATGCGGAAACTGTTCTTCAAGGGGAGCCGCGGGAGGGCCATAGATGGACAGCTATGTGGCAAACCCACTCCTGAGCCCACCTGAAGGCCTACAGTATCCCCATGAACTGTGTCAGATTGATTCTGCATTCTGCTACCCTTCATGCGGAAACTGTTCTTCAAGGGGAGCCGCGGGAGGGCCATAGATGGACAGGGTAGGTCAAACTATTTGGGCAAACCCACTTTTGAAGGATTGCAGTGTCCGCGCGAACTGTTGTAAGGTTGATTCTGCGTTGACCCCGCGGGCGCCCTCAAACTGCAAATTTTGACGTCTTCAGGCGGGCTTCGGAAGGGGCGCAAACAGACAGAGGAGCTCAAATGAGGTAGGCTCGTCCGGTCGAGGGCCCGCGGGGTGTGACACAGTGCTCCGCCGAAGGGTGTCGCCTTGATTCTGCGTTTGGTGCTCCCCGGCGGGGCTGGAAGGAAGAGGCTTAGGGTGTAGGGTTGGAAGAAGAAGCCGCAGGGTTACGGTCCATGGCTCATGTTCGAAGTTGAAAGCGTTTAAGGTCATGGTTATGGTTATATGG